AAGCCATGCTGTGGCAGGTGTCCCACATATAAAGTAGAGGAAGATGGGCATGGATGTTAGCCCAGGGCCAATCTTCCTCAGCAAAAAAAAAAAAAGGTGATATATATATATATATCACAATCACATGGATATATATATAATATGCATATAATAATAGAATATTAATGGAATATTATTCATCCTTAAAAAAGAAGAGAGTCTTGCCATTTGCAAAAACATGGATGAACCTGGAGGGCATTATGCTAAGTGAGATAAGTCAGTAGCAGAAAGAAAAATACTGAAAGATTTCACTTATATGAGGTATCTAAAATAGTCATAGAATAGTCTAAAATTCTCATTGAAGCAGAGAATATAATAGTGGTTGCCAGGAATTGGGGCAGGGGAAATAGGGAGTTGTTACTCAAAGGGTATAAAGTTTCAGTTATGCTAGATAATTAAGTTCTAGAGATCTGCAGTACAACATAGTGCCTATAGTTAACAATATGGTATTATACACTTCAAAATTTGTTAAGAGGGTGGATCTCATTTAAGTGTTATTAACACACACACACACACACACACACACACACTGAGACAAGGAAACTCTGGGAGGTGTTGGATATGTGTATTACCTTGATTTGGTGATGGTATCATAGGTGTTTTCATATGTCCAAACTCATCAAATTATACACATTAAATATGTGCAGCTCTTTGTATATCAATTATATGTCAATAAAGCTATTAAAAATAAATTGTATTCTATATATTATCAATGAATAACTAGAAACCAAAATTTAAGAAAGAATAATGTTTGCAATAGCTCAAAAAATTGAAAACTTAGATGTAATTCTAACAAAACATGTACATGATTGTATGGTGAAAACTACAAAGTGAAAGAAATCAAAAAGACCTAAATAGAGAGACATACTACGTTCGTGAACTGTAAGATTCAACATAGTGACGATCTCAATTCTCCTCAATCTATAGATTTAATGTAACACCAATCAAAATCCCAGGAAGATTTTTTTTGTAGCTACCGACAAGCTGATTCTGAAATTTACATGGAAAGGCAAAAGTACTAGATGAGCTAAATTGATTTTGAAAAAGAAGAATAAATTTGGAGGAATAATCCTACTTGATTTTACAACTTATTACAAAGCTGCAATAATCATAACATGTATTGGTTAATGGAAAACACCCATAGATTTATAGAACAGAATAGAGTCCAGAAATACATCCACACAAGTGTTCCCAATTGATTTGATGCAAAAACAATTCAATGGAGGAAGGATAGTCTTTTCAACAAATGGTGTTGAACAATTGAACATCTATATGTAATGATCCTAACACTTACTTCTTATACAAAGATTAATTCAAAGTGGACTGTAGATCTAAATGTAACACGTAAAACCATAAAACTTTTAGGAAACATAGCAGAAAATCTTCATGACCTGAGATTAGGAGAGGGTTCTGAAAAGACACCAAATTGATAAATTTGACTTCATCAAAATTAATAACTTTTGCTTTGTAAAAAAAACACGGTTAAGAGAATAAAAAGACAAGCTACAGACTGGGAGAAAATATTTGCCTATCACATATCTGGCAAGGCACTTATCCATAGTATATAATGTGCTCTCAGATCTTAAATATCAGTATGCATGGTGTTCACTTAAAGTGTGAGTATAGGTGTTTAATATGGACAATTGTTATTTTGCTCATAACTTTTTGTCTGTTTATAGTTGCAGAAGTAAAAAAAGTTAAAAGCGTGATAGAAATTATATTAATTGCCTATATGCACATTTTTCATGAACAGTGTGGATAGTTTTTGTAACTTTTCTTTTTCTCTTTTATATTTGTTTTGAATATATACACATATATGAAATACGATTAAATGGGCTTGTATTTTGTATGTCTTTTTAATTTAATTTTTGTAGTAATTCATTTTTATTGTACTTTAAAAAAGAAATGGTCTGCAACAAATTTGAAATTAAAAAAAAAGACCTGTACCCCAAATAGTTTTAAAAGCATTGGTACAGGAGACCTGACACCAAAGAAACAGCGTTATGGTAAAGTTAACAAGAGACCAAGAGACTGAGGACTACATTCGTGCTTACTCTCAAGTGTTTGATGAAGTAATGTTTCCTCCTAGTGGCAATTTCCTATAATAGGCTTTTCAGTAAAAGGTAAATGCTCTCACTTCTTTTTCAGGGAGCCTGGCCAAAGAAAGGACACAGACCTTGCACGAATTTGTACTGCTTTTTGCTGTATTTGATGAAGGTTAGTGAGCTGCAATCTGAATTTTGGGTTCCTGAAAGAAGTCAAATATATTAATTTAATCTGGTACTTGAGAATGAGGGCTACTATTGTCTAGAGGAAGTGATTATAGAAAGATCATAAACTACATTACTGTTCAGGAATGAAGGAGATGGGGATGAAAATGAATTCCAAGAAAATGAGTTCCATTGGCAGCTATGAGGTTAGGAGATAGAGGAGCTGGGTAACAGGTTGGCCTCGTCCCCCTCATTAAATCTATCAACAAAGACGTTTTGCTCTACTTTCTAAATATTTCCTCTTATCTTTTAAAGAAAACTTTAATAAAAATTGTATACATTTAAGGTGTACAACATGATGATTTGATATACATATCCATAGTGAAATGATTACTACAGTCAAGCTAATTAACATATCATCTCCTCACATAGGTATCATTTTTCTGTGTATGATAAGTGCTCCTGAAATCTAGTCTCTTAGCATATTTCCAGTGTTTAATACAGTATTATTAACTATAGTCATCATGCCTGTACAGTAGATCCCTGGAACTTATTCATCTTAAAACTGAAACTTCGAACACTTTGACCAACATGTCCCCATTTCCCCCACCTCCCAGCCTCTGGCAACTGTCATTCTACTCTCTGCTTCTATGAGAATATCTTCTCTTATCTTCATCTCTTACTTCTTTTAAGTAACTTTTAAGTAACTTTGACAAGTTACTTAACCTCTCTGTGTCTCAGTTTCCTCACATTTAAAGTTTAAATAATAGTACTTTTTTCATAGGATAGTTGTGAGGATTAAGTGAGTGATTTCAATTAAGTAACTTAGACCACTACGTGGCACAGAGTCCTCCACAGTGTCGGTACTTTCTGCCTCCTCCTCCTAATATAATCATTATATAACCGACAACAACAACATAATCATCTTCTCTCCCCTCTTATCTTCCTACACTGCCATCTTCTGAATGGAGGCCCCCATCATCTCTCTCTTGACTAGGCTCCCTGTCTTTTCATGTCCCCTGACACTCCATTATTACTATAGTAGCCAGAGGGACCTTACTGAAATGCAAATCTGATCTTGTCACTCCACCCTTTAAAATCCTTCAATTTTACCTCAAGGCAAAATACAAACTTCTTAACACAACGATGGGTACACGATCTAGTCCCTGATGACCTGTCTAACTCCATTACGCTCCTCTTCCTGCCTCACTGGCCAGGCTCCAGCCACACTGAACACATTTTGTATTTCACCTAAACATGCCATGCTTTTTCTTGCACCCAGACCTTTGCTTATGCTGTTTCCTCTGCATGGAAAGCCTGTCTCTGTGTTCACACCAAGAAAAGTTTCTCCTTCTCCTTCCAGTCTGGGTTAGATGCCTCTCTATGTATTTGCACAGCACCTTGAGCTTCCTCCTTATCACACTAAATCATCATCTTCTCCTCTCTGCTCCCATAATACCCTGTTCTCATCTCTGTCACATCACTCTTCCCTCTGTTCAAGCTGTAAGCACCCTGAAGGCAGAGGCTGTGTCTTCTTCTCTGTCATCAGTACCTAGCATCCCATAGTGCTCAGTAAATATGTTTTGGATGAATGAACAAATGAATGGATAAATGGATAAATAAACTTGTGAGAATTCCCCAAAGGCTGGGTGCTTCAGAAAGTTTCAGTATTACCTGCCAGTCCGTCACACAAAGGGGCAACTTAAAGGAGCTGCTGTCCAGCAATAATATTTACAGTTCTTTTGCTCTTACTAATTTCAGGGAGGAAATTGGGACACTTTCAGGTTCTTGAGTTTTCATTACTACAAGCTGGATCAAGCAAGTTGGACAGGGACAGGGACTGGCAGCCCTTTCTGAGGATGATTTTCATCTGCTTGCTTTGAAATAAGTCAGCTAATGAATAGAATGAAATCCTCATGGTGCAAACTAACCAATATTCTCCCTTCTCCTAGCTATCATTTGTCATTATCCTTTCCCACCTACTGTCATTGACAAGTATATATAGAGAGAGTCGGTTTGAGCAAGAAATGTCTGCCTTTTGGTAATTGTCTTCTCCCTTTCTCTTATTGACTTTGAGGGCAAGTCATCTGTGCCTACTGTGCTGACAAAAATCCTTAAGGTGTGAGCAACCTTTGCCCCATGGGAGGGAGGGAAAGAGAAACGGAGGGTCAGTCATGAGACAGACACTTAACTGGCCCTATATTTGCCTCCTTTCTCCTCAGGGAAAAGTTGGCACTCAGAAACAAATGAGTCCTTGACACAGGCTGTGGATCCTGCATCTGCTCGGGCCCAGATTGAAATGCACACAGTCAATGGCTATGTAAACAGGTCTCTGCCAGGTATGTACACGCCTGCTCAGTACCTCAGGGTCTTCTGCATTTACCACCAGTGCTCTCTTCTCCGGTTCTCCTCAGACAGCTCTGTACCCCAGAGGAAAGCCCACTGAATTCTGGCCTCTGGGGGGTCTTAAAGTGCAGTGGCTGATTCCTTTTCCAGTCACCTAAGAATGAAGGGCTGCCCCCATACACAGAGCTCACAGATTTCTCTTTCCTTTTGCTTAAACATAAGTGGGCAACAAAGGATGCAGAGATATTTAAGGAAAGCCTGAAACAGGAAAGAGACATGCAAAGATAAACAAAGAAAATAATAATCCCAGAAGGAAAAGAAATGCTTAGAACAGAAGAGAACTTGTCAAAAGCTGTAATTAGTATTTTCATAAGGATTCGAGAAGATACTGCATTGATAAAATAATAATAGGATTCTATGAAAAAGAAACAATAAAAACAAGAATGTGCTCACAAAAATTGAGAATACAATTGTCAAAATCATATTCTTCACTAGAAGGTAGATAGGATAGAAAAAATCTCCTAGAAAGTAAAACAAAAGGGGGTTGAGAATATATGTTAAGACAGATTTTAAAAATCAAAGAAATGATAGAAGAAATTATTAAAAATAAGAAGATTTGAGTATTCATATTAAAATTTCCCAGCAGGATAAATAAAAAACGATCCCCACACAAAATCATGATCGTGGAATTTCAGAAAACACAGAGAAGATATTTAAGCTTCCGCTGGGAGAAACAAGTCACGTACAAAGGCATGAGAGTTAGACTGGCAATATAATGGAGCAACACCTTAAAAGTTCTTTGCAGCCTAGAATTCATAGCCAAACTATGAATCAGCTTTGGGGGAAGAATGAAGACATTTTCAGAAATGGTAGCCCTTAGAAGCCACTGAATATGTACTACAGTAAAACTAGAGAGTAAACCAAGAAAGAGGAAGTTGGAAAATCCAGAAACCCAAGAGAATAATGAAGGATGAGGAAGGACATCTTCTTCTTAATTCTTTTCTGTATTGTCCAATAGTTCTATAATGAATATGCATGATTTTAGAAAAGAAATTAACTTTCAGAACATGCAAGTTCCTGCTCTCATATAGCTTATAGCATAATAGAGAGACAGTAATCAAATAATCACAATAATAAGTACAAAATTATAAACAAAGAATTACTCTGAATGAAAATTACATAATTCTATGTAAGCATATAATAAAGGAGCCTGATCTAGACTAAGGAATCAGAGAAGGCTTCCTTGAGGAAGTGCCACTTGAATTGAGCTTTGAAACAAGATTAGGACTAGGGAAATGAGGTGATGTGAGATAGCACTGGTGAGGTACCAGGGATCGAACCATTCAGGGCTTTCTAGGCCTTACTGGAGAGTTTGGACTTGATTCTATATGGAATGGCAGCCACTGAAGAGTTTTAGGCCAGAGGATACTATAATCCGATCTGAATTGCAAACATATTATGCTAGTTTCCTTGTGAGTGAAAGGCTTAGAGGTGAATATGACCAGATCTGGGAAGACCTACAAAGAAGCTATTCTAGTGACTCAGACAAGAGATAATGGTAGCTACCTCAGATTAAGATGGTGTGAGTGGTAACGATGGTGAAAGATAGATATACTTGAAAGCTTCAGGAGCCGAAATAGCAGATAGCTGTGCCATAGTAGTTAATAGTGTGAGATCTATGGCTGCTTGGCTTCAAATTTGAGCAAGTTAATTAACCTCTCTGGGCATCAATTTCCTCTCCTGTAAGAGAGGGATGATAATAATACTTTCCACATTCATAGGGTTATTGTGAGGAGTAAATGAGTTAAAACTTGTAAAGTACTTTGGACTGTGCTTGACACAAAACAAGTACTCAGTAAATATTAGTGTTATTAATTATATTGCCATAATTGGTGTTAGACTGGTTGTGAGAAGTGAGACTGGTGACAAGAATAACTCTCACTTGCATAATTGAATGCAAGATGGTGCTAGTCAGTGAAATAAGGAACTCTGGAAGAAGACGAGGTGATGAAGATTGCAAATTTGGTTTTGGACGTGTGGGTTTTATGAGATATCCAGGTGAAGATATTGAGAAGGTGATTGACTGTATGAGTCTGGAGTTCTGGGAGACGTCTGAAACAGGAGCGTTATCAGCATATGGATGATCATTAACACCATGAGAATGGATGATATTGTTCAGGGAGAAAATATTGAATAACAAAAGAATAAGGCCTAGGGCTGAGCCCTGAGGTGATCTATCATATAATGGATGGGTAGAGAAGAAGGAGTCAGGAAAAGAGACAGAAGAAGGAGCAGTCTAAGCAATGGGGGCACAAAACCCAGACAGCTGTTGGCACAGAGGCCAAGGGAGGACAGAATTTCAAGACGGAATGAATGGTCAACAGGTACAGATGAAGACTGAAAAATATCCATTGGATTTAGCAGCATGACAGTCATTGGTGACCTTGGCAAGAGCTGTTGGTTTGACAGTACCCTAGTGTTCTTGGAAAGTTTGATTCCATGTCAAGATAAAATTTGTAAGGTCAATTTGTTCATCCCATCCTAGAAAGTGTTTTCCATTTCAAATTCTCTACTTCTTGACCATAGCTGTCTTATTCCTACTTTACAGGTCTGATTGGATGTCATAAGAAATCAGTCTATTGGCATGTGATTGGAATGGGCACCACCCCCGAAGTGCACTCAATTTTCCTTGAAGGTCACACATTTCTTGTGAGGAATCATCGCCAGGCCTCCTTGGAGATCTCACCAATAAGTTTCCTTACTGCTCAGACACTCCTGATGGACCTTGGCCAGTTTCTACTCTTTTGTCATATCTCTTCCCACCAACATGGTAATATCTGTTGATCTTAAAAATGAGTATTATAAATGTCCAGCTCTTCTTTTAGTGGAATTTATTGTCCACTGTCCACTATAAGATTATGTTAGATCTCAACTGAGATTTCCTAGTTGCCAGTATTTAGAGTAAAGATTTTACCTTGAGTATTAAAGGGCTTGAGTATTAGTAGTACTGGTGAATTTTTAGTTAAATACCTGTGATGGGGGGTGGGGGATGGTTTATGGATGAATGAGGTGGTGAAAGTGAGGAGGACAGTATATCCTTGGTTTCCCAGCCTGATCCCATTAACTAGGCTTCAATACTATGGAGAGAGGGATTGCAGGTCATAGCTGATGAGATGTTTTATGAGAAATTTGGGGAAATGGAAAATAACAGCACTGCCTAGGTTGTAACTATAAGGGCTCCAGGATGTCAGTAGTGATGCCCAGGGCAATAGATAGCAAATGCAAGAGGATGTTGCTGTGCTCAATATGAGACACCAGACAACTGGTGTACATGGAGGCACTCTTAGATACCTGGTAGGAGATGAGAGACATCTGGGAAACTCAGAGCACATCAGGGGATAGTGGATACTGAGAGAAGCAACATGGAATTGGAATTTCATGAGCATATATAAGGCACCACATGAGGTTTTCAAGGACTATTTGATGGGGACTTTGCAAAGTGTCAAAAGTCCTATGTAAGCAAGTTGGAACAATGGTACCTACAGTTTCAAATTATTGTTAATGTGACCTCATTTGTGGCTACAAGCTATGAAAATTCATATTACAAGCTCATCTCACCCCCATGTTCCTTCTTGTGTGTTAACTCTGCTAACTCTTAATCTTGGACCAATCAAACAAGCCTCTTTGTCTACTCCTCTATTGTGGCCATGGAGGGCTGTTGGAGAAAAATGTTGAGGAGGCCTACTCTTTCAGGTTTAACAGTACTTATTTGTTCCTGTCACTCTCATATTAACCCTCTCTTCAGGTTCCTTGGTTACCTTGGAAAAGAGATTTTTTTCCCCTTATAGTCTATGAGTGACCTTGTTTATAGTCCTCTGTAGTGATGAAGAATAGGGACCTCTTTTTCTCATCTGTTACATAACATTTATAGGATTTTTGACAAGACATTAAGAGACAAAGCGTGTCATACTGGGTGAGTAACAGGAAGTTGATCCTATAGGTAGAGAGGAATAGGTCATTTACTTTTATGCAGGTTGATCATTATCTAGTTTGAGCCTGATTTCATTTAAGGGGAGTTTGTTTTATGTTTTGTTTTGTTTTATTCTTTTGACAACTTCTTTACACTGATTTTTATCCTCGTTTTTCAGAAAAATGCTTTGTCTTATTGGACCTCAGACAAAACCCTTCATTTTTAGATCTAAAATGAATTATGTTTAAGGCCACATGAGCCCCAGACTAGTTGTTTGCTGCTCCTGAAATCTGCTCTGTTTCCCATCATCCAGTAATCAGATCCCCCTTCTTAGTATTGTTCTTTAAAATAGCCGTATGGCATAGATAGGGTAAGGGTTATTATTACCCTCATTTTATAAAGCATGAAGATGAGATTGAGATTGTTGAATAGACTTACTATAGGGCTTACAACTAGTCACAGGCAGACATGGTCTTAAAATATGTAACATATTTCCTTGATTCTACGTTGTACCTTTCCATGTTTTTATGAATTTGGAATGTGTCTTGAAATTTATATCTACACTAATATTTTTCCTGATAAGCTATTATTAAATCAATGGTTTGTATCATAATTCAATGGAGTAAATATGGAAATCATTAGGTAACTGTGGGGATGGAGAGTTGGTCTGACCTGGCCTTCCAAATGCTGAAAATATGCAGTTCCTCAAGTCTCCTTGTTTATAATTTGGGAATTAGGGAGTGATAGGCTCAGAGCCAGTTCCAGAAGGGAAATATTCATATATATTATAAGAGAAAATGAGTGAGTCTTGAAAAAGGGGTAAAACATATATTGGAGGAGAGTCAGGAAGAAACCAGCAAGCCCCAGCTATAGGGAACGTAATCCATATAGGAGAGGGGCAAGAAAGGGTATTGGTGTGGAGAAGAGAACACTTACGTGAGGGCCTTGAAGGCTTAACGAGAGAGAACGAAGTTGTGGAAGTTAAGGCAAGGAAGTCTTGTAGGAATCTGACATTGTTTGGTTTGTCTGACTCCAGATGGTATGGAAGCTTATGTCAAAGTAGATAGCTGCCCAGAGGAACCTCAACTACGGATGAAAAATAATGAAGAAGAAGATTATGATGATGATCTTTATGACTCTGATATGGACGTGGTCAGGTTTGATGGTGACAACTCTCCTCCCCTTATTCAAATCCGCTCAGTTGCCAAGAAGCACCCTAAAACTTGGGTCCACTATATTGCTGCTGAAGAGGAGGACTGGGACTATGCTCCCTCAGTCCTCACCCCCAATGATAGGTAAGCACCTTTTGACTCTTGGTACTATCTCTTCCCCATACTCAAAAGGTTCTTCTCAGTTATTCAAAACAACAAATCCTCAAACCATGTTTAGGGTTAGGTACAGATATGGAATCAATTGGCAAGAGCATAAATATGTTTGTAGCTAACACAGCTAAGCATCAGGGATGCTTGTATTTTTCTCACTCCTTTCTGTGATTAAATCATATAAGCTGTTTTAGACTTAGATTTTAGCCACCTGTCCTCTACCTAGAATTCTCAATCCCAACATCTCATCTTTTTGTGTCTCATACAGAAGTTACAAAAGTCTATATTTGAACAATGGTCCTCAGCAGATTGGTAGGAAGTACAAAAAAGCCCGATTTATGGCATACACAGATGAAACATTTAAGACTCGTGAAGCTATTCAGTATGAATCAGGAATCCTGGGACCTTTACTTTATGGAGAAGTTGGAGACACACTGTTGGTAAGTTGAGGAAAAGATATAAGCTTGGGTAAGAATTTGAGGATTATTTTTTGCTTTTTATATGGAAATTTTCAAACATATCCAGAACTAGAAAGAATAGTAAAATGAACTTCTTTGAACCCATCACTCAGCTTCAACAGTTATTCACAAATGACTAATCTCATTTCATCTATAAACCAACTAGGCCTAACAGACATCTATAGAACAGTTCACCCAACTCCAGTAGAATACACATATCAATGTTCTCCAGGATAGACCATACTTTAGGCCACAAAACAAGACTCAAAATTTTAAAGAAAACTACAGTCCAATATAGAATATAGATGCGAAAATCCTCCACAGAACATTAGTAAACCAAATCTCACAACATTTAAAACTGATTATACACCATGACCAACTGGGATTTTTCTCAGGAATGTAAGGGTGGTTCAACATATGAAAATTAATGCAATACACTATTTTAATTGAATAAGGGACAAAAACCCCATGATCATGTAATAGGTAGAGAAAAGGGGTTTGACAAAATCCACTATCCATTTATGAGAGAAAAAAATCTCAAGGAACTAGGAACAGAAAGCAAGGTCCTTAACTTGATGAAGAACTTCTAAGAAAAATTTATAATGTGGTGAAAGACTGAATATTTTCCCTTGAAATTAGAAACAGGTTAAGATATCTGCTCTTGTCACTTCTATTTAATATTGTACTAGAAGCCAGTGCAAGAATCCAAAAAGAAAAAATTGGAAGCATTTCGACTGCAAAGGAAGAAACAATACTGTCTTTATTTGTGGATGACATGATCTTATATGTAGAAAATCTTAATGCATCTACTAAAAAGGAATTAGAACTAATAAACAAGTTCAGCAAGGTTGAAAGATACAAGATCAATATGAAAAAATAAGTTGTATTTCTATACACATTACTAGTGTATTCATTAATACACTACATTAATTATTCATTAATAATTTGCAAATGAAATTAAGAAGACAATTTCATTCACTATAACATCAACAAAAAATAAAATAATTTGGGGAGTGACGTCAGCATCATGGTGGAGTGAGCTTTTCCGTAAACTCTTCCCCCGATAAGATACAACAAAAGGAACAGTCACAGACCAACAACGGAATCCTAGACAGTGAAAAGCAAGATCGGAAAGATCCACAATGCTGCACATCTGAAAGTGGAACATGCTGGGCCTGCAGAGGAAGTGAGGAGAGGTAAGGAGAACTCCTCTCCCTCCACATCAGATCAGCCATCCCGGTCTGTGCAGCTCCCAGAGAGGGGGGAGGGGCGGCCCTCTGCCGGGAAACTGTAGCTCTTCAGGCTCTCTCAGCCAGTGGGAAACTCCCGCACAGAGGACTCAGAGGAGCCACAGGGCTACCATCAACATCTGAGCACACCAGAGAGCGGATAATGAGGGGCAAACAAGAAGCCCCCCACACCAGGAACCCAGCGGGCAAAAGAGAGAGCCCCACCCCTCCCTGCAAAACAGACCCTGCAGCTCAGCTGACCAGACTAGACCAAGCGACCCACGGATGGCAGCGAACAGCTGGGGCAGAGTGCAGGGCGCTCAGATTACACAGCCCTTTACCCCCACACAGTGGTGGCGGGTGGAAATTACAACCAGAGATATCCAGGATGAGGAAAAACAAAGCCAATGCAGGAACCACAATGCAAAGATACATGAAATCACCAGACCAGAAGGAAAATGACAAGCAACCAGAAACCAAGCCTGAAGACACAGAAATACATAACCTAAACGACAGAGATTTCAAAACAGCTATCATAAAAACACTCAACGAAATACGAGACAACACAGACAAACAATTCAATGAGGTTAGGAGTTTCTTCACAAAAGAGATTGAAATCATAAAGAAAAACCAATCAGTGCTGATGGAGATGAAGAACACAGTGGAGGAGATAAAGGAGAATCTGGAATCTTTAAAGAACAGAGCTGACAATATGGAGGAAAGAATTAGCATTTTAGAGGATAGGAATACAGATATGCTCCAGATGGAAGAGGAGAGAGAACTAAGACTAAAAAGAAATGAAGAAAGTCTTCGAGAAATATCTGACTCTATTAGGAAATGTAACATAAGATTTATAGGTATTCCTGAGGGAGAAGAGAAGGAAAGAGGAACAGGGAACTTATTCAAGGAAATAATAGCTGAGAATTTCCCAAATCTGGGGAAGGAGCAGGAAATAAAAGTAAGCGAAGCCAACAGGTCACCTAAATATGTCAACAGGCAAAGGCCTACTCCACGACACCTAGTGGTAAGGCTAGCCAGAGTCAATGACAAAGAAACAATGTTAAGGGCAGCGAGACAAAAACAAAAAATAGCGTACAAAGGAACTCCCATCAGGCTCTCAGCGGATTTCTCAAAAGAAACTTTACAGGCTAGGAGAGACTGGAATGATATATTCAAAATACTGAAAGACAAAAACTTTCAGCCAAGAATACTCTATCCAGCAAAAATATCCTTCAAATGTGTTGGAGAAATAGTAACACTCCCAGATAAACAAAAGCTAAGGGAGTTCACGGCCACGAGACGCCCACTACAAGAAATACTCAAGAAAGCCCTCAGGCCTGAAAAAAAGAAGAGAAAAGGAATACAAAGCTTGGAGCAAGGAGAAAAATAGGTAGATAAAATCAGAAAAAATAGTAGATCTTTACCGGAATAGGTTAGCAACCACTTAAATACCAAAATCAAAGATCAAAGAAAGGAATTCACCAAAAATAAATTTAACCTCATCAATGTAAACACACAGCCACAAGACAAGATAGAATAATGTATAAGAAGAACGACTTAGAAGTGGAAGAGGAAAGTGATTGAATTGACTTAGTATAAGGAAATAGGAGGCCATCAGATAATGGACTATCTCATACACAAGATTTTTTACACAAACC